CCATTGCCTCCTGAAATAGGACATAACTGTTTGACTGACTGACCAATCTCAGGACTAAGAGACTGCTTCATGTGATATGGAATAATCTACCCACCCAGCTTCTAGTCCAACAGTCCCATCTTGGTAAACAAATGGTAGTATACAATCACTAATGTAGTTTAACCTTTAATTATGGAAAATTTGGAACATGCATAAGTAGGTCCAATAATATTAGTAGCTCCCACGTGTAATATCCCAGTTTCAGCATCAGCTCATGGCCAATCTTGTTTCACGTCTCTCTCCCATTTTACATGTATAAGCAACTTTACAGTGTTTAAAATACTTTCATCAACATTATTTCCTTTGATTCTCATGAAAACCATGAAAGGTAGATTATGTAGTTTTACAGTAAAATCCTTTTTCTAACAAGTTACTATTTTAATGTAAATGCTAATATTTAAGATAGTGAGGGGGAAAGATATAAAGGATGATAATAAACCTTTATGCAAGCTTTATTGGTTTACTTTTTGTGTGCATCCTAATTCATTAATAAAGAGAAAAGGAGGAACACTGGCATGTTTTATCTTCCGTTATTATTCAAACTAAATGAAATTAGTTTTCTATAAAATTGTTAGGCTCAATCACCAATTTCTAATTTTCAAGAAAACTACTTTTACTGAATAAACTTGATCCCAACTCATTCTATAAGAATAGAGTTTTACTGTCAAGCTCCTCTAATGTCACATTTTGTATATAATGGCTGCAAATATCTAAAATTTTAAGGAAACATTAAAATTTAGAACAATTCTAGGACAAAACTGATGGTTGGAAAGGATCCAGATGCATGAAAATAAAACAAATGAGCCATTTAATTTGTGGTTTGGATGTCATTTTTCTGACAGTTATCAATGAAATTGCCATGTATCCCTGGAATTTAGGACTATCCAAATTATTTATTTTGACATTGTTCTTCCACATAATTGTATCTGATATCGTAACAGAAAATATTTATGTTCACATGAGGTGGATATTGATTATCAATACATTCCCATTACATTATTCCTCCCACATGAGTTAGTTGATTCTTTTTAGAATCTGCTTTGCATACCTATATTATCATACAGATATTGACAAATATTTAACTGTGTATAGATTTTTTTTCTTGATCTCCTTCCCACTTAAGAATATCAAGGATGTACCCAAATGCTCTTGTGGAAGTTGATTTTTCACAGTAGCAGTACCGCAGGCTCAAAAGTCAAATGGGATCAGCTCCATACAGAGCTCTAATCGGGTTGCAGTCTTTCTGCTGCCAAAGTAACAGTTGCATATTACTCATCAAAGCAAAATGTAAACGTTTAGTGATTCTGCAATATGTTTTTTGTTAACTCCCCAGATGAGGGGTTTTTTTTACCCTTTGTTTGTTTATTTGAGAACAACAGCTGAATGCTGAAACACAGTAGCTGATGCCAACAATCCAAGGCTTCATTAGTACAGATGAAGCAATGCTCACTTTGTTACACAAATAATTAGAGAGATTAGATGAAAATAAACACTAAGAGGTTGTACAGAAGCTCTGGAGTTAGGTAATTATTTTCATTACTCTAGTGACTTTACCAACCTTCATTAGTAGCCACAGAGCACGTTTAAACTGTTTTATGTAAGAGCATCATAAACATTATGGGAACATACTACAGCTATCAGTGATTATGCTTCAGAAAAATACTTTGCTCACGTTTCCATTTAAAGAAGCTGTTTCCATTCTGGTGCCCTGATAAATTCTCTCAATATTTTTAAAACATAATACATTTTTGCACTTAGTAGTATTTTATCCTGGTTTTTGGCTTCAATGGACATTCTTAATTTTTATATCATTGTATCTTTGCCAACATTTGATCATGAAAGATGCAGGTCCACATTTTTGAGTCTCTGAATGGCATATTCAGTGACTTGAAATAAATGTCATTTGGACAGGGGCACCGTGCACTGGGAGTTGACTTCCTCTTTCTCCCCCTCTCTACCCCAGTTGGAGAAGTCTCTACCACACACACTAGTATCTCCTCAGGTGGGGCCCTATTTTGAGGCATTGTTATAATGATCACGCAGATCCCCTGGTGTAAGATGTTCATTGAGGAAGTGTTAACCTGTATTTAAATACCATTTACTGACTACTTATATGTTGTCAGCTGCTCTGCAAAATACTTTACCTAACATATCCTATTTAATCCTTACAAGATTTTGATGGAGTGTGTTCTATTACGTCCATTTTTTTCCAGATGAGGACACAGACTCTGAAAAGCTCATTGACTTTCTAAAGTTGCCCAACCAACCCAGCTGGGGAGAAAACCCGGGTCTACTCCAAGAACCCTCCTGTTCCCAGCAGATGAGTGGATGTGTATGCCTGGGGGCAAATGCTGATTAAGGAGAACAGAAAAGATGCACAGACCTCCTGGATGTGGGCGTGCTGGTTAAGGGTTGTGTTGTATGACATCTGTGAATCCTGGGCCCCAGTCAAAATCTCAAAATAAATTCCAGAAGTTGATGATTTTGCAAGTGTTTCCTCTCTGAGCAGTCCTGGTTCTGGAAAAGAAGCAGTCAGGAAATAGGTTTCAAGGTTCAGAGGGAATAACCAAGGTCCCTACTCAGGAAGGTTAGTGAGGCTTTTAAGTTCAATTCTGTGACCACTTCAGTTTTACTCAGGTAACACAAGGGGCATTTTTCTTCAACTACATGTGGAAATTCCAACAGGATGAAAGAGACATCAGTCATCTTCGCAGGGTGGGCAGGTGTGTGTGCTGCTTTGAGAAACGCCTCCACCGAATTCCCTCCCCAGCCTCCTCCCGTGCCTCCCCCAAAATGCTGACCCTGACGTCCCCAGGCGCACGCCCCGGGGCCTGACTTTTCTCGAGGTTGTGTTATTTTCAGAGGCCCGCTAAGCTATCGGCGACCATGGGAAGGAGTCTGATGGATTCATTGTTTCTTATGTTTGGGGGCACTGATCTAAAGTGCGGTTTAAAGTATGAGCTAGTAGCTGATACTGGAAGGTGGAAGAGGGGATCCCTAGTGAGGGCGGCGTGTGGGGTTATTATTATACATTTCACTCTCGGGCTTCAGACTCTGGGCTGTAAACTAGGGAAATTCAGGACCCACCAAGACCGGATGACAGGCGGGAGCAGCCAGGACGGGGCTGAGAAACCAGGAGCATCAGAGCCGCTGGACACGAGAGCATCCGTCCCAGAGCATTCATTCCCCGTGCGCACACTCAGAGCGCGATAGCCGGGGTTTATTTATGAAGACGACTGAGGAAGACAGACAGCGAGGGAAGATGGGCTTAGAAATTATTTATCACAGGCTGGGGAAAGTCTTTGCCGCCGCTCCGCGAGCACCTCCCCTGCACGTGCCCAGGGAGCGCGATCCCGCTTTCATCTGTCCCATCGCAGGCAGCCAGAGGCTCAGCCAGCCGGCCCGCTCGATAGCAAACATCCAAACCAAGCGCCTGCGTCTTGCTCGCGTCTTCCAGACACTGTCACGGTTCCACATGTCGCCGTGCCAGCGCTCCGTTTGGTTCCGAATGCACCATGTTTGCCGCCAGGAGGGCCGCCTGCCCAGTGGCCTGCGTCGGGAGTGGCTTTTGCAGGCCGCAGCCACCGGATAGACTCCGGGCACCCACGTCTCGTTTCGCTGGGCCATCGCCACTGACCTCGGCGAGATCATGGCCCACTCTGAGTCCCAGCTTCCTCATCCAGAAAATGAAGGTGATTCTACTTCCCAGACCTCATCAAAAGGATCGCTGAGAGGGTCAAACGAAATCATTCCGGGGGCAGCCGACTGTGAGGAACTGTGACCCAGAGTACAGAAGGAAAATAAGTTAAACCTGCTAACTCAGCTGGAGTTTTAGGAATTTTCCCGCAATGATCTCATTGCAGCCAGGCAGCAAAGGTTCGGATGGATCTTTTCTTCCGGGCCATCTCACCAGTCAACCCCCCACAAGGGCACCTCTCCCGTTTCTCGGGGGGTGTCCATGATCTCTGCCTTTCGGGGAAAGCGCTTCTTGTCTGCGCGGTGCGGTCCACCCCCAGCACACAAACCCCGCGCCGGGCGCCAGAGAAGGTACCCTACGCCCTCTCCCGCCGCCCCTCTCCTCTCACTCCCCACCCGAGGTCTCCCGCGTTTTCGGCACGTGCCTGTGTTTTCCTGGCTGGTCTCCAAAGACCTTGCAGCATTTCAGAAAGCTAAGAGCGCGGAGGTCGGGGGAGCGAGCGAGCGAGTATCCAGCCCCTCCCCGAGGCCGCGGCGCCCGACAGGGACCCTCCTCCCGCTCCCCCTCGGCGGTGCGGCAGCCGCCTCCGGAGTCGGCTCGCCCGGCCGCCTTCCCGCCTCCCCGCGCAGCCCCACGCCGCCAGTAGCAGCGCTGCTGTCTCTCCACAGGAGGACTGGGGGGGGACGCTGGAGTCTGCAGCGCCCCCGCCCCTCGCTTCTTCTTTCTTTCCAGGCTTTGGGATCTTGCTGCCGGAGCCGGGAGAGGTTGTACCGAGAGCAGCGCAGAGCGAAGAGACCCGGGCACAGGCTTCCGCGGCGGCGCGCGAACCGAGCTGGGCGCACGACATCCTAAGCTTCGCCTCCGGTTCTCGCCGCCCCGGCTGGGATGTAACGAAGGAGAGCGCTCGTCGCCTGTCCCCCACGCCTGTCTCCCCACCCCGAGAGCGCACCAGGGACCCACGGCTGGAGTCCCTTTGCTTGCGGCGCCGCGGGACCACTCTCAGCTCCCACGCTTCGGAAAGAGCGCGGTTGGATCACCACCTTCCCGGCGCCCAGCACAACTCCGGGGCCGGCGGCGCGCGCGGCTGGACCGAGTCCCGCTTCCCGCCGACTACCCGCCTGCCTGCACGCCCTGTAAACCGGAGCTCCCCGCCACCTGCGCGGACCCCGCACGCCCGGCTCCGCGCCCCCGCAGCGCCCCGCCGCCCCATGGAGTGCGCGCGGGCCGCGGCTTCCTGAGCGCGGACGCCAGCGCCGTCCAAACTGCACGCTGGGGTCCCCCCGCTCAGCCCCGCTTGGGGCGTCGGAGAGGTCGGGGGAGAGCGCACCATGAAGTCTGTGCTGTTCAGCCGCTTCTTCATCCTCCTGCCCTGGATCCTGATCGTCATCATCATGCTCGACGTGGACACGCGCAGGCCCGCGCCCCCGCTCACCCCGCGCCCCTATTTCGCGCCCTACTCCGGGGGCCGCGGGGGCTCCCGGCTCCCGTTCCGCCGGGGCGGCCCGGGGCGCGGCCGGGAGCCACGCAACGAATCGTGGCCGCGGCCGCCGCCGCCGCCGCCCGAGCCGCCGCTGCCCACCATCTATGCCATCACTCCCACCTACAGCCGCCCGGTGCAGAAGGCCGAGCTGACCCGCCTGGCCAACACGTTCCGCCAGGTGGCGCAGCTGCACTGGATCCTGGTGGAGGACGCGGCGGCGCGCAGCGAGCTGGTGAGCCGCTTCCTGGCGCGCGCGGGGCTGCCCAGCACTCACCTGCATGTCCCCACGCCCCGGCGCTACAAGCGACCCGGGCTGCCGCGCGCTACGGAGCAGCGCAACGCCGGCCTGGCCTGGCTGCGCCAGAGGCACGGGCACCAGCGCGCGCAGCCCGGCGTGCTCTTCTTCGCCGACGACGACAACACCTACAGTCTGGAGCTCTTCCAGGAGGTAGCGGCAGGCCCGGGCGGGCGGGAGGACACCCCTCGGGCTGGTCCTGCCACGGCTGCCCTTCCCCGCGCGCCCACTCGGGACTCCGGGCGCAGCGCCGCGGCTCGCGCTGACCCCCTGGGGCTGGAGGCGGGTGGGAGGACCTCCGGGACTCCTGGAGAGAGTCTGGCGGGGGCTTTGCTTCCCCCGACTCCCAACACACACAAACACACACACACTCACTCACTCACTCATTCACTCACTGGCCCCGCGATTGGGCTGAAGCGATGGTGCGGCTGTGAGGCTCCTGGAGGATCTCTAGGACCTGGGCTCTGGCGGGCCTGAGGATGGAGCCCCGTGAGGCTGCAAGGAGGGATTCTGCGCCCTGGGGGCGGGCTAGGTGGTCTCTAACGGCCTTTTAAGTGCACATAGGTGTGAGTGTGAGTCTAGAGCCATATCAGGAGGACGCTGAAGGTGGTGACTAAGAATCAGCCAGACACCCATTTCCCTGTTTGCTCGGCTGGAAATGGTTACTAGTGTAAACACTGACTTCTAGGGAGTTCTTCCCCACCATCTCTCCCTGTAGCCCACAAAGGCCCTCCATGACTCTAAAGATGACCCCCTTTCCGAGGAAACCCTCTGGCAACTGAGTTTGGACCGCCCTGTCCTGCCGTCTGGTTCCGTTTTTTCACAGCCCGAGGTTATCAGCGGGACTGCCGGTTCCTTCTCCTGACCCTTCTCGAGGCCCCTCTTTGGCCACTTTTGCACCGGCCATTGCTGCTTGGTCCTCGCCGTGAGGTCCCCAGCGCAGCCTGGCCCGCGGATGCTGGGACGGCACAGTGTCCCTTGGAGCCCACAGCCGCACAAAGCCAGCAGGCACCGGGTTGGAACAGGTATTCGTCCCTGAGGCTGGGGCTTTGCAGCCTGAATGCGTGCGCATGCGTGCGCGGTCTGCTCAGGAGGCTGGGTTGCCCCGTTTTGACAGGTTTTTTGTTCCTCCTGCACTCATATAGCGGGCAAAGATCTTGGACTTTTTGACATGCCTTGGGACTTCCCCAAAATATCTTGGAATTTTTGACATGCCTTCCTCTTCCCCAAATCTTCAGCATCCTGACTCAGACTCCATCATCCCTCTCCTTCCCCTAAGTAAACTGGGTGATCTGTATGTCTAGACATCCCCTGGTGGCACTAGTGATAAAGAACCCGCCTGCCAATGCTGGAGGCATAAGAGGCAGGTTTGATGTCTGGGTCAGGAAGATCCCCTGGAGGAGGGCATGGCAAGCCACTCCAGTCTTTTTGCTTGGAGCATCCCATGGACAGAGGAACCTGGCGGGTTACAGGCCACAGGATCGCACGGAGTCGGACATGACTGAAGCAACTTAGCACGCTCTTCACAGAAATCACAAAGGTCCCATGCTTTCATCCTAATATCTCAATTTGGCTTTCATAACCTCAGGATAGAGGTATTCTGTGTCTCTCCAGCCTCATTTTTCTGCCTGTGTGGCTTTAAAAATCCATTTCTTAGGGGCAATTGTTGCCTTCATTTCTGTTCATCCTCTCTTGAATAAAAGGATCAGTAATTGCTCTCCTCTCCTCTCCTCCATGCTTTCACGATGGAGGGCTTTCTTCCTGTATTTCTTCTGAAGAAATCAATTAGCTTGTCATTATAGGGTATGGTCTTCATTATAACCAAGATTCGAAATATCAGCTCTTTTTTAAGTTGAGTTTTATCGTGATTCTGTCTGCATATTCTTGCCCCCAAAAGACATGGTTTGCATTCTGAAGCACATTTCAGAACACCATCATTTTAACCCCCAAAGTCTTTTTTTCTTTTTATACAACTTGGAGGTTGCTCTGCTTGTGAAAATGTGTAGTCTTGGGTAAGCAAAACAGTGCACATTTTTATTAATTAACCTTCTAGGGGAATGGGCTGTGGAGGGCGGTGAGTTTCCGTTTCTTCCCCGCTTCCAGCCTGCTGGTGTGAGGTGTTGGATGGAATGGAGGCGTTGGCACAGAGGGGCAGAGAAGCGGCCCAGAACACAGTCTTTCTTTGATGCTTCCCAAACTGAAAGAAGTCTTGTTTGTGGTGGATATGAAGCAGCAAGAGGTTTTTTCATTGCTCCATGGGGGAAAAGAAAGAGAGAAGATAAAAGAAAGAGGAGAGGATGGGGACAAAAAAAAGTCAGCTGAAAGGAAACTATATAGGGGAAAAAAATGCTAAACTTTTAAGACACTAATGTTTTGTATGGTTAGAAGTAATGAAATATTCAAAATAAACTTATGAACATGTGTGTCTCTTATTTATGGAGAGGTGCCAAGTATACAAAATACACAACAGAAGGGATTTTTTTTAAAGCATAATATGCATGATACACTTTGAATTTAAGTTCTGTAGCTTCTCGGGGTTCCTCCCAAGCAGGAATTTTAGTACTAATCCCTTTCTGGCCCACCACCCCTCCCCCAACATAGCGTTTTTGAACAAAAAAGGCATCTCTCTGTTCACCAGGCATGTATGTTGAGACATTAAGTTCTCTTTATTACAGCACATTTTTTTCTTTGCATGGCAAGCAAGATTGAACTCTCTAAGAAGTCAGATTAGGAGAAATTATGCATCCTTAGTCTTGTATATTAATGGGATGCCCTACCTCCACCAGTTCTAGATTAATGATTCCACGTGGATTGCAGTCTAGACATTGCTCTCTTGGTGAAAAGGTAGGACCAGTTGAAACATCTAAAAACTATAGCTCCTTGGGGGAAGGGAAGATGCGGATCAGGGATGCTGGAGGGCCCAGCGTATATCTCAGCCCTTTCTATGGCACACACACAAATTAGTTTTTAAGTAATTCACAGTACCTCAGGAAAGAATGTCCCGAGGCAAGCTTCATCTTTTATTCATGGTGCTTCTCATTTCCATGGTTGATGTTAACGTAGATAAGATAAAAGGAGGAAAATGAACCAGGTACAAATTAGCTCTCTAAGCATTGGCTGCCAATGAAGGAAAGGAAAAGATGAAAGGTTTCCAAATTAAATTTAAGGCACAACAGGCACTCTGGTGCAATTAATCCTCCATGGTAGCTTAGCTGGAACTGAGCTTTCTTCTCCCATCCAGCTAGCCAGCCAGCCAATTGTCAGGCTCCCCTTTCAACTGAGCTATGCGGCCAGGAAAGAAATATTTGCATCAAACAACCCTACATTTAACAGCCAAATCCATCTGCAAAGGAAAGCTGTGTGAATTGTGGCTGCAAAAGCTGAGCTGTCTGTCCATCAGAGATGGAGGTGCTTGGAGTTCTCCGGTTCCCAGGGGCCTCTTCTCCTGGCCCTGATAGAAGTTTGCACTGCGGCTCTCAGGTAATCCTGGCTGCCTGCAGCCTGCACACCCCATCCATCTAACTCTCCGGAAAAGCTTATTTGCAAAGGATTTACCCGGCTTTCACAGAAGCAACAGCCACAGACAAGTGGGACTGTAGCTGGTCACATTTTTTCAATAACACTATTGATCAGATTTCTGTCCTCTGCTAGGAAACCTGCCAGGATTTCTTGAGTTTAAAGAGGCCACTTTTCCATGGTGTATATGTACCACAGCTTCCCTATCCATTCGTCTGCTGATAGGCATCTAGGTTGCTTCCATGTCCTGGCTAAGGAGAGGGAGGTGGGAGGGGGGATCGGGATGGGGAATACATGTAAATCCATAGCTGATTCATGTCAGTGTATGACAAAACCCACTACAACATTGTAAAGTAATTAGCCTCCAACTAATAAAAATAAATGAAAAAAAAAATAGTACCAAAGGGGAAAAAAATAAATTAAGTATTTGCAATTAAATTAAAAAATAAAGAGGCCACTTTTCAGGTGAAGTTGCTTTCACCTTGGGGAAACCAGTTGAACTGAAAGGTTAAAAAAATATCACTTTCCAAGCAAGGGAAGAACTTTTAAAAATTTAACTTTCAGTCTAACGAGGTGAGGCTGGAAGACAAACTGACTTTGAAACTGGTTACAGGCTCAGGAAAGGTCTCAGTTAATGAGATTGCATTTGGAAGACATTTCTGGCAAGTAGTGAACTAGACAGGCCCTTTGGATGTCATGTTGGGTGCAGTTAAGCTGTTTGTGTGCTGGGCAGGGGATGGGTGGGGGGAGGGGCGAGTTCCTGCTCTTTTCTGATAATTTAGTTACATGTTCCACCCTTTACGTGCAGCTCATTGGAGCCATAATCCAAAGGATATTGAGATTCACAGTGTTTGGCACTTTCCCCCCTAAATAATAGATTCTGAATGTATTTCCTGGAAGGAGACAGGAGAGCTCCCTTTCCATTTCCCCTTGACACAGTTACTTAGTGTAGAGTGATTACCTTCTCGAAGTGAAGCAACCTCAAAGATGCTTTTAGAGAGCACCATCCAGAGATGATTTTACCCGGAACGCGCCCCTCACGCGTTATTTCTTCCCTCCTAAGAGCATGTTAACAGTCACGCTGTGAGTCTGATCACATGTGAGAATTTTGCGAAATGGATGTCTAGAAGGATGGACAGCTTTCCTAGTCTATCAGTGTTAAATCTGTACATTTTCTTTACTTTCCCTGGATGTATGGTACTTGAGCTGAGGCTCATTTTTGACAGGGTTTTCCTTGGACGCCAGCAGTTTTCATCTGGATCTTGATATTGGATCAGAAATAACCCCTCGGGTTTCAAAGGCCTTCTCCCTTCTGCCTCTCCCTGTTGTCTTTCTTCCGTCATTCTTCTTCCTCCAACCTGCTTTCCACTGATTATTCTTTCTCATGAATAGACATGAAGACAAGTCTGGGTTATTGTGAGTGGCGATGAATGTGTGTCTTTTAAGCATTTAGACTGTTGTCTGCAGCTTCTTGGATCCTGGTGGGTGACTCCATTTTCTTCTGTCTACCCCACTTACCTCTAAATTGCAGGCTAGTAAATTTTCTTTTGTGTGAACAGTAATGGAATAGTAATTGCTTTGAAGGCATGCTGCAAAAGCAGAATAGGAGAACCAGAGTCAACAGCCTTATTTATTAA